TCTAGGGCTCTTGTTGGATCATGCGCGCGTTAAGAGGTCCTGGCTCTTATGAAGAGTCTCCCGCGACTAACATCCTCTCGTCTCAGGGCTCTCTAGGGCTCTTCTAGGGCTCTTGTTGGATCATGCGCGCGCTAAAGGGGTCCTGGCTCTTATGAAAAGTCTCCCTCGGCTAAAATCCTCTCGTCTCAGGGCTCTCTAGAGCTCTTCTAGGGCTCTTGATGGATCATGCTCGCGCTAAAGGGGTCCTGGCTGGCTCTTATGAAGAGTTCCCCGCGACTAAAATGTTTTCCTCTCATGGCTCTCTAGGGCTCTTCGAGGGCTCTTGTTGGATCATGCGCGCGCTAAAGGGGTCCTGGCTCTCATGAAGAGTTTCCCGCGACTAAAATCCTCTCGTCTCAAGGCTCTCTAGGGCTCTTCGAGGGCTCTTGTTGGATGAAGAGTCTTTCGCGACTAAAATCCTCTCGTCTCAGGGTTTTAATAGGGCTCTTGTTGGAGCTCTAAGGGGGTCCTGGCTCTTATGAAGAGTCTCCCGCGACTAAAATCCTCTCGTCTCAGGGCTCTCTAGGGCTCTTCTAGGGCTCTTGTTGGATCATGCGCGCACTAAATAGGTCCTGGCTCTCATGAAGAGTCTCCCGCGACTAAAATCCTCTCCTCTCAGGGCTCTCTAGGGCTCTTCGAGGGCTCTTGTTGAATCATGCGGGCGCTAAAGGGGTCCTGGCTCTCATGAAGAGTCTCCCGCGACTAAAACCCTCTCGTCTCATAGCTCTATAATTGTAGCTCTCTCCGAGTTCTAGCTCTAGCTCCACCTCTGTCCATCTCCTTCTCCCTCTCCGTCTCCCTCGCCCTCTCCGTCCACTCCCTTTCCTCTCCCTACAGAGCCCTCCAAAGAGAGCATTTTAGTCGCGGGAGACTCTTCATAAGAGCCAGGACCCCTTTGGCGCGCGCATGATCCAACAAGAGTCCTAGAGAACCCTGAGACGAGAGGATTTTAGTCGCGGGAGACTCTTCATAAGAGCCAGGACCCCTTTTTAGCGCGCGCATGATCCAACAAGAGCCCTGAGACGAGAGGGTTTCAGTCGAGGGAGCCCCTTTAGCACGCGCATGATCCAACAAGAGCCCTAGAGACCCCTGAGACGAGAGGATTTTAGTCGCGGGAGACTCTTCATAAGAGCCAGGACCCCTTTAGCGCGTGCATGATCCAACAAGAGCCCTAGAAGAGCCCTAGAGACCCCTGAGACGAGAGGATTTTAGCCGAGGGAAACTTTTCATAAGAGCCAGGACCCCTTTGGCGCGCGCATGATCCAACAAGAGCCCTAGAAGAGCCCTAGCCCTGAGACGAGAGGAGTTTAGTCGCAGGAGACTCTTCATATAAGAGCCAGGACCCTTTAGCGCGCGCATGATCCAACAAGAGCCCTACAAGAGCCCTCCCTCGCTCTCGCCTGATCCAACGAGAGCTCTAGGGAGCCTTGAGACGAGAGGATTTTAGTCGCGGAAAACTCTTCATAAGAGCCAGGACCCCTTTAACATGATCCAACAAGAGCCCTAGAGAGCCCTGAGACGAGAGGATTTTAGTCGCGGGAGACTTCATAAGAGCCAGGACCCCTGTAGCGCGCGCATGATCCTAGAAGAGCCCTAGAGAGCCCTGAGACGAGAGGATTTTAGTCGCGGGAGACAGACTCTTCATAAGAGCCAGGACCTCTTTAGCGCGCGCATGATCCAACAAGAGCCCTAGAAGACTCCTATAGAGAGCCCTGAGACGACAGGAATTTAGTCGCGGGAGACTCTTCATGAGAGCCAAGACCCCTTTAGCGCGCGCATGATCCAACAAGAGCCCTATAGAGAGCCCTGAGACGAGAGGATTTCATTCGCGGGAGACTCTTCATAAGAGCCAGGACCCCTTTAGCGCGCGCATGATCCAACAAGAGCCATAGAAGAGCCCTACAGAACCCTGAGACGAGAGGATTTTAGTCGCGGGAGACTCTTCATAAGAGCCAGGACCCCTTTAGCGCGCACATGATCCAACAAGAGCCCTAGAAGAGCCCTAGAGAGCCCTGAGCGTCTCAGGGCTCTCTAGGGCTCTTCTAGGATCATGCGCGCGCTAAAGGGGTCCTGGCTCTCATGAAGAGTCTTCCGCGACTAAATTCCTCTCGTCTCAGGGCTCTCTATAGGAGTCTTCTAGGGCTCTTGTTGGATCATGCGCGCGCTAAAGGGGTCCTGGCTCTTATGAAGAATCTGTCTCCCGCGACTAAAACCCTCTCGTCTCAGGGCTCTCTAGGGCTCTTCTAGATCATGTGCGCGCTACAGGGGTCCTGGCTCTTATGAAGTCTCCCGCGACTAAAATCCTCTCGTCTCAGGGCTCTCTAAGGCTCTTGTTGGATCATGTTAAAGGGGTCCTGGCTCTTATGAAGAGTTTTCCGCGACTAAAATCCTCTCGTCTCAAGGCTCTCTAGGGCTCTTGTTGGATCAGGCGAGAGCGAGGGAGGGCTCTTGTAGGGCTCTTGTTGGATCATGCGCGCGCTAAAGGGGTCCTGGCTCTTATATGAAGAGTCTCCTGCGACTAAAATCCTCTCGTCTCAGGGCTCTCTAGGGCTCTTCTAGGGCTCTTGTTGGATCATGCGCGCGCCAAAGGGGTCCTGGCTCTTATGAAGAGTTTCCCACGACTAAAATCCTCTCCTCTCAGGGCTCTCTACCTGAAGAAGCTGGACCCGCTTAAAATGTAGGGTCTGAGTCAAGACACGGGGTCTCAGGTTTAGAACCGAGGTTTGCAGTAAACCCGAGGTTTCAGGGGACATTGGGATATGCTTTCTCATGCTGCTGTTGTTTGTTGAATGTTCTTCTGATGCTCCGATGATGTAAAATTGGTGCGAATCTTTGTAACTTCTGATGCTCTGCAATACAAAGGATCGCTCAGATGATGCTCCCACAGATTTTTCCCATCAGCTTGTGCCTTCGATCAGCAATCCGGCCTTCACCCATTGACTATGGCAGGACTGAAGATAACGCTGCATAACACGGGTGACAGTTCCTCTCGAAGCAACCCTCCGCGAAAGGCGGGAAGGCCGGCCAATAAAGTGTTCGCTTTGCTGCGTTGACAGCACCAGCGGGCTTAGGGCATGAAGATTTGCTTTGCTTGCAGACAAAAGCTCTATGGCCATGTGTTGTAAACAATGAAACTTAGGCTGTATTGGAAACAGCGTTCTCTGCAGACTCCTCGCTCGAAGTGCGCAGTCGTCGTAACGCCTCAGAAATTTTGCAGCGAGATCGCCCGCACGACCAGCATCAGCCGGGGGGATCCACACAGGCGATTCGTAGAGCAATCGCATGAAATTGTTCAGCGATACAACTGCTTCTGTTCCCATTGACAACAAAAGGTCCACATCATCACCATTCATATCGATAGACTCTCCCAAATGCTGTAGAAACTCCATGACATTTGTTGTAAGCTGTCCTTTGTACCAGCCAGCAGCTGGATACTCACTGGTGGATGTCCACTGAATCGTATCCTTTGTCAGTTTTGAAAGAAACATCGCTCGCCCGCTTGCTTTGCAAAAAGTTCTGTACTTGGTGGTGATGGCATCAAATCTTTCGTCGATGTTGCCGGCTTCACGGTCAGACCACAGTGCAAGCATCGTCCCTGTCAAATACCGTCCAATACCGAGTTGAACTGTATGAAAGACGTCGAATGCATAGTGTGCCGCAAGTCGTGAAGGGTTGTGTGGCGCCCGAGCCATAAAAGGAACCTCGTCGAAAGGACATGTCTGATACATGGTGCTCAGCCATCTGGGTCGGCGCGTCCCGATTTGCTCGAAGGGATAAGCATCGGTGCCAGCATCGCACAAGTGACATATCCCGCCCGGGGTCTGATCAAGGCGCTTCACCACGTTAGCATACGTGCGGTTGAGTTTGGCAGCACGATGCAACCAAGGCCAATCTCCAACTGTGCGAAGCACCATCACCCAGTGCTTCTGCCCATACCGGTCTTCAACACCACGGTCTGCAAGGAACGCAGCTTCATCAGCAATCGAGGTCATCAGGCCGTCAAAAAAACAATCGTTGTCATTGTACATCTTTCGCGTCATGGCAGCGGCCAAAAAACGTGTCGTGTATGTATGTCCCGCGAAGTTTGTTGCCATCTTCAGGTACGGCTTTTTCACTTTTTTGGCCTTGCGTGCTCGTTCTGCTGCTGCTGTGCCTTTCCCCAAACAACTGTGATAAGATAAAACCAGGAATGCTTGCCGGCGCCTGCCACGGCCCTCATCTCCATGAAGCAGCATTGCTGCGCATCTTTCCAGCTGCACAACTCCTTCCCGAGCCTTTTGGAAGATTTCGTGCTCTGGGTCCAAAGCACGGTACTTTTCCCAGAAAGCTCCCCAAATCGCCTGCTCCCGCTTGGGGTCGGGTGCATTCAGCCCACACAAATGATGCCAGGCATTTATCTTCAGAATATAGGCTAGCCAATCCCGCAAACGAATCATCGGCAGCTGATTGGTATCGGCAGGGCCAGCTTAAACTTGCCAGCGAGAAGTCGGTTCGCATCTCTCTCCGAATGAGTCTCTGAGCAACTTGCTAACTCTCGAAGGCCTGCCACCGAGCCAGCCTTGTCCCCCAGGTCCGAAACCAGGTTGCGGGCGGTGCGAATCGCCGATCTGCATGTGGCCTCGGCAAACGAAATTTGGGTTCCAAACCTATAACACTTCAATCGAGGAGAGTTCTCAATGCATCCACAAGAAGTGCAGGCACCCGAATGCAGAAATCGCAAAGCAAACTGTTTTGCTCGAGCCCCGGAGCCTTTTGTAAATTTCGAGTGAAACTTAGGCCACACACGAAAACTATTGCTTCTGTACCGGTGGCAGAACCTTGAAGGATCTGTACACGATGTATGTCATATAGTGACTATCAGGTATGTCTTTGCTCTGCACATTGTCACCACCACGATTGATGTTTCGACATCTGGTCGTACCTTGAACCAAGACGAAACCATACTTGATGAGTTTATTCAGCTATCTATAAAAGCTTCGTGTTTTGCAAACCAAGTAGCTACTGTACTTCTCAATGAGAGCCGCTTCTAGCATCGCTGGACCGAAATGTTCTTCTGATATGTAAAGGATCATCATGTGACTCCACTTCTCTTTTGCCTTGCTGTATCCATACAGTCGATTGCTCCATCGCCACACAGGGTTATGAGTGAATCCCACTTTGAAGATCAAAGGCTTTTGCACTGCAAGGATGATGTCTATCTCCTTCACAGCATGCTGCACCACTCTTCCGGCCAGTGCATTCCGAGAAGGAACATTGAAGATGATGAACCCCATTTCGTTGCATTCGTTGTACATGCGGCACAGAGCAGGTGACATTTCCAAATGGGAAAGCAGGTTCTTGGATTTGCTCATGGGGATGCCGATGCTCTTGATGTTCGTTCTGACATCTGGCTTCTCGGGGCACTTCGGGGCTTCGTCAGGTACAGGCTTGGCATGCGGTTTGGTCACACGATCGCAGTCAAGTACTTTGGCCCAGGGAAACGGAGCACACACACACACACACACCCAAATTAGAACATGTATTTACAAAGAAGACAAAGGAAGAAATATAGAGTCGATAAACACACTTTTTGTATATAGAGATAGGTTTTCGGTTGTAGACTATATATCTCCGTGTATATAGAGACTTTATGCATACAAATCAAAACAGTCTTAGACGAATACCATCACACTGAAATGAAGAAGTAGCAGGCATCGTCGCGATGACATGTCAAAAGATCGTAGAGCTCTTCGTCCGGGCTTTCACAGGCAGGTGCAGCTGAGCTAGGAGTTTCCATGGTGACATAGGGAGGGAAGCTGCATAATCATTGCCCAAGCTTGATCCCAAACATAACTTGATGCAGACACACAACCATGAGCGAAGATAATGCTCATCGCCCTCGATCTATCTAGAGCCTCTCCAATTCTTTGAGCTTCCGGCGCCCTCGCCAATGTCGTGGCTGAGTCCACGAACGAGTCGGCTTGGGGTAGAACCTGGCATTGCACATAGCTTGTGGCTTTCTAGGGGTTTCTCGGGCTTCAGAGTAACAAGCAATGATTGGGTTCTTTTGCAGACCCCCAGCCAGATAAGCAGCACGGTTGAAAGACCCCAGCAATTAGGAGTGCACACATTTGCGGCCATTTGCCACAAATCAGCTTCAGGGCGGATGCTCCAACGATGCAGGTTCTGCCCGCACCATCTAGCAATCTCCCAGGAAACAGCGGAACACTAGCCGGTTTTGGGCTTCATTCCTTTCTTGGCTGAGGCTTTAACCTTGGGCTTCGGACCCTCAGTCGTTGCCTTTGGCGCGGGCCTTCCCTTGGGTTGCTCGGAACTCACCTCGTTCTTGCCGTAGAACTTCTTGGCGGTCCTACGAACGGGATTGTTTGAAGGGCAGAACATTCGACCCAACAGAAACAGCCACGACACATTGGCAACTTTAGCAGAACCCGAATAACCCAGCAATACATGTCTCAGGAAGTTTGGCGCTGCTGCTGCATGCTGCTCCTGATCTTCATCTCGGTCGCTGATGCTCGGGAGCACCTGGGCCGGAGAGGTTAACTATGTACAGGGGTCGTATGGCACCGGGTTGATCTGAGACGAAGACACAACAGTCACCTCCTTGATGCGAGCTTCCATGGACTTGTAGATCCTTAATTAGTGGGACTGGGTTGTGTTTTTGCAAAGCTGCTAACCATTGCTCAGTGCATAAATACATACAAGGCAAGCAGCTCCTCACTCATGCCCTGAGAATCAGCCTTGGCCTTCTCGTCGCAGCACTTGTCATACTGGGTCTCCATGTCTTTGATCTGGGTTTCCAAGCCACTTGTGCACCTGGGCTGCAGGATTCGTCTAGGAGGGAATATTGGCAAGAGGGACTATAGGACTTCGGGTCTTAGAGGGTGGTTATCCAACATATTTTCAGGCTCGCGTCTTCGTGGTTTCGGCATCCTTCTTGTATTTTTCTGCAACTCACGAATGAGGGCTCGAAGCTTCGAGATCTTTGTCATGGTGGATTCCATTTGCTTCTCCAGGGTCGCTTTGGTCTGAGCGTGCAGAAATTGAGCAATCTCAGGAACCCCCCCTCTAGCAATTATTCTAGCCTTAACTATATATACTTTCATAACAAACCTTACAACACCATAAGCCAGCCTGGCTGACCTGTGTTTACCTGTGTGTGTGTGCATGTGTTTTCGAGACAAAGAGAGAAAGAGAGAGAAAGAGATAGAGAGAGAGGCAGACTGTGTGGGAGAAGAGGCAGACAGGGAGGGGCTGACGACTTTTGTGCGTGTGCAAGCGCATGACACAAAGCATTGCAGATCTTCATCTTCATCGTCTTAATGGTTTCGTGGCTGGACTTCACGCAGACCCCAGCCTCAGAGCCCTGGCGATCGTTTGTAGTCCGGCCTGCAGCCACAAATTTGTGAATGCCGAGTCCTTTGCCAGCACATGCTATGCGAACTCAGAACTTTACGTGGATCGAGATGTTTGCTGGCTCCGGTGCGGCAACCAAAGCTGTCCAACAGCAAGGCTACAGGACTGCACACTTTGATTTGAAGGATGCTTCTGTGTATGGCTTGAACGAGCGTGGATCCGTCTTCGACATTTTGTCTCCGTCTGGATTCTCGAGTCTAGCCCGCAATCGTCGAATAACACTTGCGCTTGTACCGCATAGAGTGCCCCACTAGCCGTCACTAGCCCTCCTGTTGTGTCTCGCCGAGGTTACTGGTTATGGCAACTCTGGACGCCGATCCTCATGGCTTTGTTGTGTGGCTCGGTGTGCTATGTGCTTCCTGGTCCATAACAAGTCGCGGGACCAGTTTGCGAAGCTTCCTGAATCCAATCGGGCACGAGGGCTTACCGTTTGTGAGGGAAGGGAACATCATGGTCACCAGGACGGGCGGCTATCTGTTATGCTGCGTGTACACATGCACACCAAACCTGCAACACGCTGCTGCAAACCGGAGGACTTGTATGCTGATAGCCTTGGTTCTCGCAAGAAATGGAACCTACATAGTGGAGCAGCCTCGCCAATCGCTGCTCTACCGGCACCCCCGTTTCAGGTGGCTGTCTTCTGCAACACGGGTTGGGGTCTTGGTCTGCATTTCTCCAACAGGGCATGCTTGCGCAGCACGTCCTTCTATGAACTTGAGTCTTGAGTTCAGAGGTCTACCGCAGCTGCTGGTGGATGGGGCTCTACTCCGACCCAGCTACAGATGATAATTGGAGCCCCAAGCGACAGATCTCGTGGTCCAACAGTCGACACATTTGGTCCTTCAACAACGGGCAGCTGAGGCGACCTCGAGCTTTGAACCGCAAGACCAAGACTGTTTTTCGGTACAAGGATGTGAAGGGGAAGAGCTGCTATACCGGGACGAAAAATCTCAAGCCCACCGAGAGTCTTTCTTGCATTTGTCGGTGCAACCATACAGGGCACACATATCACATCCATCCCACCTTAAAACATGAAGCCTCTGTAGCCTTTCTATTCTCAGGAGATATCCGCGAGCATTCGGAAGGCGAGTGGCCCAGCTGATGCCAAAACTGCTCCAGGACCGCAAGGGCGTGGACGTAAAGGCGTCCGTGCCACGGGGCAAGACTGCCCTTGAGCTTTTCCAAGCTTTGTCGTTTTCTGATCCGGTTGAGGATGGAGAGCTTATCCAAGTGGCTCGCTACCTTAGAGGTTCCACCCGGCTTTGTGTGCCACCTGCGCGGCGAGCTGTTCTGCCAACCGAGCTGTAGGTGACAGTCTTTCCAGCCCATCACATTGAACGTCGGCCTCTTTACTTTCACTGTAATATAGGCTCGAAGAACACGACTGGACACCAAACAGCTCGGACGGCATCCCGAGGGGCCACGACAAGGAAAGTCGTCATTTGGACGACTTTTGGGGAGCGGTGTGCGTATATGCACGTATTTGTGTGTATATGGGGGGCGCAAAACCCGATCGACATTTTATCGGCAAAAAACCGAACCCGTATATGCCCGAATATGCGCGTATATGGCCGAAAGCTAGCTTGCGCAAGACTGGGGCACATTGCTGCTCCTTTGTGACAAAAAGCATGCCTGAGCTTGCGTTAGACTGCATTTGCGCTAGTCTTGCGCTAGCCTTGTGTTAGCCTTGCGTTAGCACCATCACCCCTTTGTCCAATGTTGCTCGAGCTTGTCAATTTTTGTGGGGTACACTGATATACGGCTCCGCTGGCTGCACAATGGAACGAAAGCCCCAACAACTTGCTTCCCGTGTCTGGAGTACTTCGTCGCTTGCTACCGGAGTGGAGCATCTGAAGATGTGCAAGCGGGAGCCTGGTGCCAGTGATTCCAGAACCGCTGCTCCTGCGGACGAAGCTTCGAATCTCCGAGAGCAGTTGAAGGCACCATGTCACTGATCATGTTCCTTCGAGCTTATGAACCACGACGAAATATGTGCACATGCTTTCAATGTGTTGAGATGTTTGCCATGCAGGTGATGGAGGCAAAACTTCAGCAGATCGAAGTCAAGAAACGCCGACCTGAAGCTCCCACCCAGGAAACCGATGTGCATACGCTTATTTAGTTCACACAGTGTTTGCCCATAACATAAGCCATCAGGAAGCTCTCCGTGGTCGCCAAGACGTGCCAGCCATCCCCAAGGTGAAGAAGGACATGTGCTGTAACGATGGTAAAATTTATGATGCGCGCGCATCATAAATTTTACGGAGTTTTGTGGTGGTGCGTTTGTTTGCTCAACACACAACCCCCAAAAAACCTCCCGTCTGCATAAGCACAAACAAGGCCAGAGCCCCTGTACCTCCGAAGGAGCCTGAGCCAGCCCCTGCGCCGGCTCCTGGAAATGCCGAGGCCGACCGTAGATGATGATGCACAGATGCATACCTGCGTGTGCCAGGACTCCGATCGCAGAAAGGCAATGCTCGAACAGATAGCGCAGCTTGAAGCCCAGCGGCGCAAACTGCACTACGAACTGTTTGGAGGGAACCCTCCGAAGCATGAGCCCCGCACCCCGGTGAGAACTCCTACAACCACGGCATCTTCCTCACCGCCCCTCTCAAGCCTGCGTTCTACAGCATCCACGGGCACTCCTACACCTGCCCAGCCTGATTCGAGTGGCGAGCGCGTGAGAAGGCACCGCCAGCACTCCTGCACATGTGTTCATATGCGTTCCGTTCATGGCATATAATTACCATGAAATCCAACAACCCAAGGGTCGAAGTCAGACCGGGCGGGCAGGTCTATGTGAATGGCAAGATCTTACCCGACAGTGCTGTTGAACAGCGCCTGCGACGACTCTGCAAGGTGCGCAAAGGAGGTGACTGCCCAACTGGTGACGAAGCCAGGAAGATGTTTCAATCCGGCGGGGACGACCGTGCAGCCCTTGTGGAGATGTTCAAGCAGAGCAGTCTCAAGAAGGATCGGAGGGTCGGGCGGGGGGGGTTGTGGGCATGCAGTATTTCGCAGCAGCAGGGATGGGTCCTTGCAACATGAAGGACGTGCTAAAGCGCAAGATTGTGCAGCACAAAGAGAAGGAGAAGGCCAAGAAGCTCCAGCTGAAATGTGGATGGTACACCGAGCAGAAGATGTCTCACTCGACCTTGAGAACTCGCCCACGGAGCATCTGGAACTGGATTTCAATGCTGGGCCCCGAGCTCTGAAAGACGGTGCCGGTCCCAGCGGAGAACTTGGCGTGGAGGGTGAGGCAGGGTCTTTGTACAGCAGAGTGTAGCATTCGACCCACAAGCATGTTGGTTGTTCTTTGGATGTTCTGCCGTGCTGTTTCTATTGCGGTCTCTGCAGGATATCGTCGGCGACATCAACAAGAGCATGCAATGTCTGCTTGTCAAAAGCACCAAGCTTACAGACGTGTGGTCTAAGCTGGCGAGCTCTTCCTCTGCCAAGTCCACAAGGACCGGGACACACATCCACACTCAAATAACCCTCAGACAATGTTGCATGGACTTTGATTTACCTTTGGCTCTTACTTCCCTGAAGGCTGGCGGATGAAGCCAAGACCCTTCAAGAGCAGTTCGATGCAAGCTATGATGCCATGGCGAAATTGCTACCAAACATGAAGACTCCAGCAGGCATCAAGAAGTGCCCTCGAAAGCAATACGGTAATTTTTGCAGCATGCATTATAGCCCTCAACCCCCGAAGAACTGAAGCCTTCTCCTTCAATCAAAGGCACGTTGAAGCTGCCACGAAGCTGGTCGAGGATGCTGAAGTGCTGTGTCCTGGTCGGATCAGATTCTAGCTGTGAGACTCAGTTGCGAGTTGGTAGAGTCGGTATGGTAGCTGAGGGCAAGTAAGAGCACATGCGTGGAAGCCAAAGCTGGGCCGGTCCTGCGCTCGATGAAGAGGGCGCCCGCTGCCTCGGAGACCGAGAAAGATACAGCAACACTGGCCACTGCTCCACGGGCTGGCAAAAGAAAGGCTGTGACTCCCAAGGCCAAGGGTGCCAGCAAGAAGCCACGAGCGGGGAAGTGATCAAGGATCACAGGGGTGCTGCAGGATGCCTCTCTAGATGCATCCGCTTAGATTGTGAACACGGTCTGCAATGGGCTTCGGGGTTCAAGGAAGCCTCTAGTAGCACGCCGTGCGCAAGCTTACGGGGAGTTTGAACATACGAGCAATCGGCATCGATGAAAAAAGCGTGATGCACCAAGCGGCCTGCTGCTCGTCATCTGCTTGCAAAGAGCCAGCCACCACTATCGCTGCACCTCGATAGGCAGTTGTACCTACTGTCAGTGCCAGGTTCTGTGGGACCACTTGGTGATCATGCTGCGATGTGTATCGCCAACGGGGCCGGGCCGCAATGATCGAGATGAGTTTTCACATGCATGCAACACATAGCGAGTGAATAACCTTCGAGTTTGTTTCGTGCTGTCAGGCTACTGCTTCCTCCGTGGCCAGCATGGCCAACGCAGCGGTGGAACACTTTGGGCCCACCTCTTGTTCGGTGGTCAGCAAACTCGCCAGAACGAGGAAGGATCACGCCGAGGATGCATGCCATGAGGTGTTACTTACATGCATTACAACACCCATGTTAATTGTACACATGCATCTGGATGTTTTTTCGTGTGAGTATGTGACATGTACGGTACGGGCCTGTTACACAAGGTTTCGAAAACACAGCCTCGAGCTGGACATACGGATTTCGTGGATCGATGTTGGCCTCCAGAACCAGAAGTTTCCTGTTCTGCAACCATGTGATACTATTCGGTTTATGGCTGCGCATGACGAAATCGGTAGGCTGGTAGGCAACACTGCCTTCGAGGATCTGGAGACCACACTCATGGCGTTTTGGAGGAGGTACTCTATTTTGTATCCGTCGCATCAAGTGTTTGCAGAGGGAAAAGATTTGCAACTTCGCCACTGCATTCCTTGCTATCTGCACGGCGATGATGGACGATCTTTCAAAAAAAAGCGGAGTGCTGCTGATCAACCTCCAAGGAGCCATCGGAACAGGATCCGAGCCTTTCCACAAGAAGCATAAGCTCAGTGAGCGTTTCCGGCAGGCTTCGATGGGTCTCAATATCGGGGGACACTCCTATGCCAGCAGGCTGTTGTATTGTTCAACGCAGCGAAAGTTTTATGCAAAAGATCCACATGTACTCGAGAACCTTCTCGACAATCTTGCAACACAGCTCTTGCGATTACAGCAAGGTTTCGAGTACAAAAAGCAAACATGGCACATTGCCCTGCTGGGTGTCAAGGGCGATCTGCCGTGGCTGACAAAAGCAGCTGGATTTCAAAGACATTTCCTACGAGCACAGCGGTCGCTCAACCGGAAATCGAAAGAACCACCTGCAGGCGTCTGCTTTCTTTACAGGAGCAAGCTTCAAAGTCTGAATGGGTATACAACATACTCAACGAAAGTGTGCAAATGGATGAGGATTTCGTAGGCCAGCAGGCAAGACTAAGCCGCAGGGTTTCCCCCGTTAGCAATTCAGGTCGATCATTGCAGCGCTTCCTTGTGCGAGCGAAAGCGATCTGGGTCAATAAGGCCACTGAGCTCCAGGCGAAGCGGAAGCAGCCAGCAAGGGGTACTGCTGAGTAGAAAAGGCTTCGTGGAGCGAGCTTACGATGTGCAACAATAAAAGCATGCATATTTACATCCTCGCAATCCACCCCCGTGCTTGCAAAGCCCTTGCGTTATCAGAAACCCCACTCCGCAGCTCAACCGAATATGGCCGTATATGCGAAACGAGCGGTCAAGGGCGAAAGATCGGGTATACGCGGTCGTTTGGTGTTAAAGGTAGAGCTCTGGAAAGAGCTACAACTAGAGCTGGAGCTAGAGCTAGAGCTCGGGAGAGAGCTACAACTAAAGCTAGAGCTGGAGGCTGGAACTGGAGCTCGGGAGAGAGCTACAATTAGAGCTAGAGCTGGAGCTGCAACTAGAGCCGACGACAACATGTACGCCATGTGCTTTGCCGCCGGTTGCGACCGTAACAGCAGCTTCTACAGATGCCAGAGCGAGGAGTGTGGATGGGTAGGAGGGTGGAAGGGGGGGTGGAGAAGGGGTCCCAAGCGCGTGCCCGTGCGAACAGATAGGAACACAGACGCACACACACGCACACAACGCAAACGCACGCGCACACACACACGCAGACACACACCGACACACACAGACACACACACACACACGCACACACACACACACACACGCACGCACACACACACACACACACACACACACACACGCAACACAGACGACATACAACACACACCACACACAACACACAACACACAACGCACAACACACACAACACACAACGCACAACACACAACACACAACACACAACACACACAACACACAACACACAACACACAACACACAACACACAACACACACACACAACGCGCACACAACCAGCTCAAACGCCGAGGCAGATTGCGCACATCTCGAATCGTTACCTATCAAGACCACTATGTTTTGCACTGCTTTAATGCTGAAAAGTGTATCGCTGTCATGTGGGGTCATCCGGTCCTATAATTGTACTACTGCTGTACTACTACTGTACTACTATTGTACTACGGTACTATTATCGTACTACTACTGTACTACTACTGTGCTACTATTGTACTACTGTACTATTATTGTACTACTACTGTATTACTATTGTACTACTACTGTACTACTGTTGTATTACTATTGTACTACTATTGTACTACTGTACTATTATGGTACTACTACTGTACTACTATTGTACTACTACTGTACTACTGTTGTATTACTATTGTACTACTGCACTATTATTGTACTGCTACTGTATTATTTCTACTGTACTACTGTTGTACTACTATTGTACTACTGTACCATTATTGTACCGCACCGAGCTTCAGACGTGGTCGATTGGGGTGGGAGTGTGGGAGTGTAGGTTGGAGGCAAAAGTGTTCAAAATGAAGGGTTTTTAGTCTTGGTAGTTATCTTGGAGTGATCGGGGCTTGGTTTCCAGCATTTGGTGATCCCCAGACCCCCCGGACCGCGCATTCGTGCAGAACCGCAGACCCTGCACCCAAGCCAGCCTCCCCCAAACCCCGGCACCTCCCAATTCCCTGCCGGGGTTACCGGTTCCAAATCAAAGAGAGCAAAACTTTTTGGTTGGGGGGGGGGGGGCCGTCGAGTAAACCGACCGCCACATTATCTAGCACAACCCATGTAAAAATCCACATCCTGAACGTCGGAGCCTATCAATGCGGCGCAGCCTCCATGTCCAAACTGTCACGTGCTGCTCCCGTCTTGTGGGCGCCGTCCCCGTGACCGTTTGGCATGGCAGTTTGCTTCCCGATCGCCTGTCCAAATCCCTCCAACTTCTGTGCCCGTCCGGTGTTTGCTCACTGCAGCAAGCGGCCGACACGCAAGTGGAATTCTACAAAGGCGGCTGCTCACCTCTCGCAATGCGTTAGTACGAAACTCCATCGTAGGAAATCTTGACCTCCAGATCTGAATCGCAATTGAAAGTACAAAGCCTTGTTCCAGATGCTGGCTATGTCCCGGAAGTCGTCCATCAACTGCTTCACCTGCACGGGCACAAGTCTCTGCAAGCACGGTGGAAGGAGTTTGAGGGGTGGTGACGGTCATGGGTCTTCGTTTTCCTGAGTTGTACGTTCGGTTGGTTTCGCCAAGTGTTTAAGAGAGACAAGCCTGACAGATGCCCAACAAGCGAGAACCTTCGCAATACACCTGGATTCGTACGATGGTTCCCAGGTCATGGTCCGGGGAGTAGAGCAACTGATGAGCTACAAAAACAACCAACTGCGAGGAGGACTCGAATCCAAAACGAACGTAAGCTCATGCAGGCTCACCTTCTGGTGAAACTCCTGAGCCAAAGTGAAGAGGGCCGGCAACCTCTCGGGCAAGAGGATTTTCTACCAGTAACAGTAACACCAGTCGACCCGCGAGTGACAGCGCCACGTTACAGCAGAAGCGCACCAAGGGAGGCGTTTAACTTCCTGTGTGCCCGGGCAAGAAGTGAGAAGGCATCATCAACAATGCTTCCAGTCAATCTGAAGCTGTCCCGGCTACGAGCCTGAGTATCACCACCGGCACTTGATGTGAGGAGTAGTGGTGAATGAACTGCTCCTGACCTTTCCAGGAAGAGCATAACATTGCATCGAGGATCTAGTGGTTAGAAGCGGTTGGTTTGAGCTTAGCAACACGATGTCGCGCCTTTCTTGCTGTCTCCAGTGGTGAGCGTCACCTCAGGAACGCTGATCACCTCAAGTGACGAGCTCGATGCAGGGGACGGAGGGACAGCATGAGACAGCCGGAACAGCCTACGAGCACTTCCCGGGTCCATCTGGGCCTGGAATCGGGACTTAACGATGCTGTCAGAGAACTGCGCAGGTGATGTCAGACTCTTTCCATACTCCCAGTGACTCGTCGATGGCTTTGCCAAGGCTTGCGGATGCCTCACCAGCTCGGGACAGGAGCATCTGCAGCCGAATAAAGTTCTGCTGCTCTTCAGAGTTCATCTCGTCCAAGACATATCGGATCCAGCCTCTCCGACTCCACTTGGGAGTCGAGTCCTGCATGTAGCAGAGGGCTGCGAGATCAGCGAAGCCGATGAGCTCAGCTTTACGCACCTTCAAGAACGGCCGGATGACAGTCACGCCTTGGGTCGTACTGCTTGGCAACATCCCATCAATGTGGATGATGTTGCCCTTTCCCAGCTCAGCCAGCCGATTCTCGTCTGCATCATCCTCATGGTGTGCTACCAGTGTTGCTCCCCTCTCGAACGGGACGCCAAGGTGTTCAAAACAGCGCGAATACATGCGAAAACGAATCTGTTTCGACTTCTCCTCGTAGCGCTCGCGAGAGATTCCGGTTCGCAGGGTTCCGTGGGGCCGTCGGATCTTTAGTCTATAGGTGAGCAACTCGACTCCCAACTTAGAGCATGACCACCGCACCCAGCCCTCTTCATCACGGGCATCGTCGCGGTTTGGGTGGCAGAGATGCAGCGCACAAAATTTGAAACACTGCTCTGGAGGTAATCGGCGACGCAAAAGCCAGAGCAGGCAGCAGGTCACCATGCTGTCCACCCCGCCAGATAAGCTCAGAACGATTCCGCTCTGTTCATGGAGGAAGCCCAGTACCTGCAGACTTCTCCTGAGCTCCTCCACCAGATGGTGCTGCTCGAAATGCGCACTGTCGTGGAGTAGCGAATCCAAGAAGCGCAAGCCTGAAGTATGCGCTTGGCACCTGGCCGTTTCTCGGGCACTTGCTACATTGGACGCCGTACGTGCACGCCACTGGGTGCAGTGGTCATTGGCAGAACCGACATGCCATTGCCCAGCCCTTCAGAGGATATTACATAAAGATGGCAGACAAATTAAACGACATGCACCCTCAGAACTCAGAACTACGAACACTTCAATGCCATCGTTAGAAATCCAGCCTCTGGTCCAGTACCTCGAGTCGTGGCGTCTGCTCCGGCTCGCCGATCAGCAGCGGCTGGTCAGTTTCTAAGGCCTGATGCAAGTAGGCCTCCACACCCACGGCCTCCAGTCCAAGCGGCTTGCATTCCACTCTTTGCAGGACTTCAGACTTAGTGCTGCGATGCGACAACCAGCCTCCAGTGCATCTCGGGTCTCTTCTAGAAATCGCGAACCTGGAGCGAAGCTGAGAACCAAGGACCGACCATGTCACGAGCACACGAGCTCCTCGGCCGGGAACTCACTGTTACTGTTATGTGGAAGTAGAAACACGGAGAGACATAGCAGTACGACGAAATAGGCATCTCGTTGCGTTTGAGGTGCAAAGTCCCAGATGCCCCTGGAGCCCCTCGGATGGAAGGCCAGTGTCGGATCGCTGAAGCTCCGCTACGACGGAAACTAACCTGGCGAGCAAACTCGAACAACCGCGGGATTCGGGCTAGCAAAGACTTCAGGATGATAGGCCCGTGCGCGTTAGCAGGTTTCAAGCCGCAATTGGGGTCAGTCACAGGCGGTCACAAAACATCCTGCGCTCGCCAGTCAAACCCTCGACTGCTGTACACCTGCCTGAAACCTTACACGAAAACACCTGAATGCCGAGCTGCATCCCCTCAGCGAGCTGGATGAAGCAGGGCTCCCGCGTGTGACGCAGCACCAGTGACAAGAAGCACAGCTCGGGCACTGAACCCAACCTGCAGGGCCAGGCTTCAATGCACCGCCGGTGGCAACCCGAAGACATCTCCCTTGTGTTCAGAAAACCTCTACTTACCGTTGGACTTACCATGGGTTACACAAGTACCATCAAACTCCACAGTAGGGTGGAAGATGGGAATTGCAGCTCCTGGCCGCGGCAAGGAATTTCGGAGCTAGTGATCTATGAGGGAGCAGTGAGAAAGGCAAGGTGAGGCAAGTCGCAAATGGAAGCAGCACGCTCACACACCCAACCCAAAACATGACCTGAAAGAGTGAGCCTCCGTCCTGAAAGCCCGAAGAGCCCGAAAACCTCACACGTTCATTGCAGCGAAGCATTTCGAAATTTAATCAGGTCGCTGCAGGAAGAAAGCTCCATTCGCTGCGCCGCCGGCTGCCAGCACTGACAAAGCCATCTGCAGGGCTACAGCATCACCTCGCTAGGTACAGAGAGGCCTTGAAACTGGCGCTGATCTGGCCGAATCAAAGTTTGGGGGAGGGCATCCTGACCTTCTGTGGAGCGGCGGTTAGAATCCGCATGCTATCGCACTCTTCTAAGCTCTTGCAAGCTCGCCGCACTGCTCCTTGACTTGGCTGGCTTTCAGCAAGGCATCATCACCTGGCAGATGACCCGCTGCGAGGGCCCCTTAAAAACTCATCCCGAAGACATGCTGCACAATTTCCCCACGTTCAAGGCTCCTGTCTGAAGCTTTCACTATCCTTCAAAATGGAGGGGAGCTGTGCCGGCATAATGCCGGATGCCATGGTGTGGAGCATACTGACTACCTACAGTAGACCACGATGAATCTATCTACGAAGGCCCGTTTTTTGAGTCCTTAATACCCACGATCGAGAGCTGCACTGGCGAGTCTGGATTGCGGTGGCAGGTTCAGACCGATGACAACCTTAAACAACACTCTCGACATGTCGCCTCGCTGTGTGGACTTATAGTTGCGCGAGGTTTGGTCCAGGAAAATTGCAGCCTTCAGTCTCATCCTGCAGACGGCGCAAGATTTACGCCTCTTCATGATGAAACAACATGAAACACACGATTCGATCCATTTGACACGAATCGCCTGGCAGATGCAGAAGGCTCCCATCGAGGCCACCTGCGCCGGAGCTGGCCAGCAGCGAGCCGCCGTGCTGGTTCGAGGCAGCTCGCGTTCAGCTTGTCAAAGAGCGGTCGATAGGAGGCCTTCCTTGCTCCGAACCAGTAGCCTCTCCGCAGGGTCACTGTCTGGAGTCAACTGAGACTGTGTGTCGGAGTTCACACGAAACCGCAGGCGCCTGGAATGGACTGGCCCTGCTGAGCCTCCACAGGAAACCAAGCCTCGCAAAACACCGCCAATCCGGTGACCCAGTCCGACGACTCAGCATGCTCCATACCATTCGGCCAAGGAGTATGAGGAGCTTCTGGCTGTCCCTCAGCCTCAACTGCACTCGAAGTGACTCGACTCCAGTTCAATCCTCAATGGCTCTCAACGACGTCGAAATATCTTGAGAATCAAATGCCACCAGATGTATTGCAGGCATGAATGAATCCATGACTCCCTATGCTCACCTATCGACGTCTGAGGAGATCTTCAGGGCAGAACTTAACCCTCCGCTTTGTCCAGACAGCCTGGATTGCATAGCGGCATAGCGCTGTCTTAGGAGAAAGAAGATGTCCGGCTGCTTTCGACGGACACTGTCAGATTTTCAAACTCGCACGTCGAATGGCCCTTGACCGATTCGAGCATCTTTTGTCCTGCGCTTCTTCTCATTCGGGGGCTCAGTGCTTTGAAAAAGCTGCTCTTTCAACCTCAGCGCGGCGCGGCGCTCAATTAGCATTCGCTAAGCAAAACACACCGCTGACACACCGAAGTCCGACGGAGGCTCCTCCCCTCACAGCAAGGACCTGAGCCTCGGCCCCGGAGCCAACATGAGCCCACAATTAAGTCTCCTCTAGACCTCTGTGTCCGGGGGGCAGGTCTATCAGCAGCGGCCCAGAGTCTTTCGCAGCTCCTCGCAAGAGGTGATTCGGGCGCATCAGCCCGGCGCGGCGGCGTATGTTGACGAAGTTCGGCAGTGGTCCCCCCCCCGTGCGAAGCGGGAAGACGCCCCCTTCTCCACCTGCCTCGCGAGAGTGCCGCCTCCGGAGATGGCAGCTGCTCGAGGAGCCTGGACAAAGAAGACACGGAGCTCAAAGCAAAACTTCAAGCCGAGAGCTCGGGCCAGGGAGAGAAAGAGAGAGAGAGAGAGAGATAAAAAAAAAAAAATATATTATGCAAACATGCAGGCAATACTGCACCGCATGTGTTCGCAACATCATCCCGTACGTTACATGTGCTCAGTGTATGTATGCACGTACATATCCGTGTATGTGGTATGTACATGCACGCATGGACAAGCACATATCTGCATGCACAGGCATGGATGCAAGGACGCACGAAGCAGGGATGGACGGACGGACGGATGGATGGATGGCTGGCTGGCTGGCTGGCTGGCTGGCTGGCTGAATGGAGGAGGAGGGAGGGAGGAACCGCGCGCCCGCCCACTCGCCTGACCGACCGACCTGGATGCGGTCGAACGCATCTTACACGTTGTGCGATGTAGATGCGATGCAGAAGCGGATACATATGAGTGGCCGCGTGAGCCAGGCCTCTGCAGCCTGGAGTCCGGTGGTTGAAGCGCCAACCTCAGCAGCCCAAGACTTGGAGCTATGAAGAAACACACCGCGCGAGGTTGCAAACAGGGCTCGAGAGTTACGCTGTCGATGTGCGACTGGCTAAGTGCAAGCCGGGCCGGTGTTGCCAAAGGAAGCGAAGCGATGCGTCGCGCGGTCCTTCTGAAGCTTTGGGCCGGGCAGGATTGCATTCGCCAGTAAATGAAGGCGCCCTGCAAAATCCACACCTCGAAAGCACACGAAGAACACACCTGCTTGCAGTTGATGGATATCGATGGATCAAGCACTACATGCAGACGCACCTCCATTGATAGCTTTGTCCAAAAAATCATCTGAACAGCCTTGTCAAAGCCGACGTTCTCTACTCAAAGTCCTGCGACCAAGATGCTGTGCGGCAAAGATAAGAAGGTGCAAACCAATCTCCGAAGGCCTGGGCTCTTGAACAAGTTTGACTGGCTTTTGGAGTCCACGTCTGATCCAGAAAACGGTACGCGCGAACAACTGCATCGTAAAAGATATCAGGCCTGGCTATAGGACTCACACGACGTCAAGGCCTTCAATCCTCTCACTCCGAAAGGGATTCACCAACCAGCAATCATGCCTGCAATGCTCTCGGGGAGTGGCTTTCTTTGGCCTCACTGGAGAGGGCCAAGTCCTGCCGTTTTTGTTTTAAGTCTCTGACGGCACCCACCTGCAAAACAAGACAAGCTCAGAGTAGTTCAGTTAGCTTTCCGTCACAGAGAAACTACTAGAGAGCATAAGACGATCACTCGAAATAGATGGACTCATTGTCCTCATGGTGGGCTTTGGAATCTTACTATTCTCTGAAGAATCCTAGTGGCCCGAATCCACCTGCCGTCAAAAGCAGGCCTTGTTGGACATGGCCATGAGAACTTGAAAAGCGGACGTGATGGCCTGTCCAATCACAGCTCCAGCAGGGTGTTGCTTCGGTGAACAAGGCCCAGCAGGCCGAGTCCAGAGCTCGCTCCCTCGTGCTTGGGTCTCTGTCTGTATATCTGTATAAACGCAGGTTTCAATGTCGCAAGGTCCCTGGCAAACTCAGACCCTTACCGCCCGAACCTCCTCTTGAACGTGGAGGTTGTGTCGTCCATGTTCGCCTTGCGCCTCGGCGGCCGTGAGAGCACAGCTGTTCATATGGCCGAGAGCTGCTACTAGTAGCTAACAGGATTCCATGCGATTCGTGAGGGTTTGGCTTTCGACTGCACAGGAGGCTGCTGCGTCGCATATCTTTGCAGAGGCATGCCGGGCCAAAGCGCTGCCTTTTTCTCAACTGGATGGAGCGCGTGCGCCAGCTCTCTGCCAAAGGCTGGCAGCGAAAAGATGCGAAAACTCTGTAGGATCAATCTGTCTGTAGTTGCAACTTGTGGAGAAAGTCATCTTCACAGCCTTACAGCTCGTCCTCGCAGTGGGTCTTGATGGTGACGTCGGAGGTGGCGTATGTCACACCTGAGCGTTTCTTGAACCCCTTTAGCTTGAAACAGACACAATGGGCCTTCTTTCTAATTATTTTCGTCGAGGGACATGTCAAGCAGAAGCCCTCGCCGGTCTGGTCATCGTCCAAGAAGGCCTGATCGCTCTGGTCAATCTCGCCCTCCAGGACCTTGCCAGCACAGCTGGAGCAAGAGCCGGCGCGGCAGGAGTAGGGCAGCTCCAAACCCTCCTCCTCAGCCTGGTCCAGGATGTATACGTCCTCAGGGCATTCCTTGGCTGGTCTTTCGCCAGATTGCTCTAAGCGTTTTTGTCAGCACCGCGAATACCGTCTGTTCCCGAAATGCCACCTTACATAAGTGACAACTGGAGTCTAGTGCTGCCAAGATGCAAAGGATTGGGTGCCGTCCGGGGTCTCCAAGGTCACCTTGAAGTGGGCGGGCACACCAGGACGAGCTGGCACCGTGTTGACGATGGCTGGCACATTGCCGGAGGCCAGAGCACCACCCGACAATGCCTGGCAGCCCATGTGAACGCTCTGCTGGGGCGAAACGAAGGTCGACTGGCTCGGTGCCCAGAAGCTGCGAAGCACGGCAACGCAGCAAGCGGCGGCCACGAGCACTGGCAAGGTGCGACTCTGGGAAGCCATTGCGACCAAACGTCCACTATTTCCAGGGCTGCTGTTGAAAGACCCTTTCGTGGCTTGAGCTTGAGCAATGGCAAGTCGGACCCGGACAACTTCTTGGCCCAGGATCAAGCTGCCACATGAGTAGCACGAACCTTCATCGTGATTGAGCATTTCTCTTCACCACATGATGCGCTGCCGTTCCCTTATGGCGTGTCGTCCCATCTCCAACCCGCCCCAGCCCAGTTACCAAAAGCCACAACATACAAGCTGAAATGTGCATGGCAAGTGAACTGAAGCAGACCGCCAAGTGCGAAACAACCTCAAACTGCAGGTTCTTTTTCTCCACAGTTTTAGCAAGCGCACCACTTCCGTAGACCGGACATGCACTCGGCCAGCAATCCATTCTGGCGGACGTCGTTCGCCCTACGCTTGACAGCATCTGCAAGGATTATGCGCGCAGCTCCAAGCTGGCACTGCTCCACAGCCATGAAGGCTGCAATGCCTCGCTGACCAAACGCAATCTCACCGGATTGGGCGCGCAAAAGTAAACGCAAGATATCGTGATGCTCCGCGGAGACAAGCAAGAGGGCTGTAAAGCTGGCGTCCCAGTCTGCGTTCGTGTCAAGATCGACCTCCAGCAATAGCTGCACGAGTTTCGCATGGCCGCGCTGGCAAGCAAGATGCATAGCTGTCACGCTGCCACTCATGGTCGCATTCTTGTCGGCACGTGCCTCCAGCAACAAGCGAGCGACTTCCAAGTGGTTCTCGGCGCATGCAATTCCTAAGGGTGTAGCTCTGCAAACGTCTGGGTTCGTCTCAGCACTTGCGTGAAGCAAAAAGCGAACCACTTCTACATCTCCGTGGCAGCAGGCCACAGACAAAGGCGCGAAGCGTCCTCGTGGCGCCTTCTGCAGGTCGGCTTGCGCATGCATCAGAATCTTCAGTATCTCCAGGTGCCCCTGTGCCGTTGCAAGGCCCAGTGCGGTGTAGCCATCTTCCGATACCCTGTCTTTCTCCGCTCCGGCTTCGAGTAGCAAGCGAGTGCAGCGGGCACTGCCACAAACCGCTGCGTAATGTAAGGCCGTCCGGTTTTGGTGCACCGTCTGGCTCGTGGAGTCAGGGTCAAGTGGGCCAGCAAGAACTAATTCGAGTCGTTCAGCTGAATCATGGGCAACCGCGGCAAAAAGCTCACGGCATTGCCTGTCATCGACAGGACAGAAGTGCAGCAGGACAATCTCAACCTCCATAGGAAAAACCAGTTCATCCGAATCGCACAGCTCGCTCCCCTCTATCAGCAGTCTCTGCCGAAATCTCGGTATGCCGAGCCGAGTCTGGAGACTCTGCTTTAGAGCCCTGATAGGAAGGTCCGCCGTGGCCACTAGTTCAACAGCCTCCTTCGTAATCTGAATCTCCTCCCCCGATGCCATGCGAATTCGTAGCATCGTGTTTCAAACTAACCAAACCACCCAGCCTGCTGCCCGGGCCTATTCACTAGTCCAGCCTAGTGAAACCTTGAGACTGGCACTCCAAATGTCTAAATGTCCCAATGTAGATACATGGCGCCAAATTGCGGCATCCACATGCGAAATACCAATGGCATGCACATGACGACATGAAGAGACCAATCACGGAACACCCGCCGGCGAGGGCCTCACATCCTTCGGCCTGCGCAAAACCGAAACCACTGCACGTACGAATGTCTGCAGCCGCACATTCCGAGGACTTGACGAGCAGGTAACGGACGAGCTGCCCGAAAAGCTCGTGGACTAAAGGACTCAGCGGCGAGACCTTCAAAGGACAGATTTGCAGTATACTGTATTCATTGACAAAGAAAATGCTGCACCCCCGATGATTCTATAGGCTTGACTTAGATTCAGGACACTGTGCGCAGGTCGAGGCCCGGTGACTCGCTCGCATTGCTCCATGAAGCCAGGGCTGCCAGGGTGGTGTACTAAACTTTTTGGCACAACTTCCAGCTTTGCTTCCCGCCGCACGTGTAGAATCAAGGAAGTCCCACGCCCTGCCGCAATACTCAGGCCAAGAGAAACCAGTACGACTACCTGCGCTGTGACTACAACTCCTCCCCCTGATGCCCCAGACTTACACAAGCGAGTGAATGTGCCACCTGCACGAATGTGAAGGTGATCAAAAGCAGCTCCTGCAGGGAACCACTCGGCTCTCGCCGCCGCAGCGACACCTGGATATGTATGTGTGCATGTACGTATGCACGTATGTATGTATGTATATATACTTATAAGTATATTTATATACACACATATACATATGCATATACATATACATATAAATATGCATATACATATACATATACAAAAGCATACATCTATATATATATATATAACATATATTTATACATGTAAATGTGTGTATATATATATACATATATATATATATATACACGTATATGCATACTTATACATATACATAGACATACATCAGTATACATGTGTACATACATACATGTGTATATATCTATATATATATATATATATTATATTGATTGATTGCTTGCTTGCTTGACTGAGTAAGTGAGTGAGTGAATGAATGAATGATGGACAGATAGATAGATGCATGGAGGGTAGATAAGATAGATAGGTACATAACTAGATAGATGAATGGAAAGATGGATGGATGCACGGATAGCTAGATAGATAGCTGGGTGGGTAGGTGGGCAGGCAGGGAGGTAGGTAGGTAGACAGATAGGCAGACAAATAGATAGACAGATAGATAGACAGAACATGAGTATGTGTTTGGCGGTATGATACGTTGTGTATGCAATGTAATGTCATGTTAGGTGATTCCATATAACGCGATGTACGTATTTATGTATGCATGTCTGTATGCATGCATACATGGATGGCTGGCTGGATGGCTGGCTGGAGGGCTGGATGTACGTCTGAATGTTTCTTCGTATGGCGTTGGTTTTTCGTGTACTATATCCTGCATCATTAAGCAGATCCGCTTGCCTGTGTGTGCGTGTCGCATGCACATGAATACCAATCTAAATACATAAAGATAGATAGATAGATATGTATACATATTAGTATATGCTATACTATTGTATACACGTATATTTACCTCTGCAAATGCATACAAGGAAACTGGGATGACAAGTTAATGACAAGAATCGCCTTTCACGTAGCTTGGACTCTGCATGACTTGACAACGTGAAACTAGACAGATCACTAAGATCAATAGCTGCTTGCGCAATTCCCTGCCAACAAGACTTGAGTCCGCCAGAAATACGGTGTTAAAACTCAGGTTTCGCCACCCCCGGAAGATCATGATGATTCCGCTATCCATGAGTGTCAAGATACAAGCATAGCAATATGAGTGTTGCAAAGATGCACAACCATTTTTTCCAAGCGCTACATCGTTCCTCCAACATGTCTCCCGCAAGTTCGCCGTTGTGTACCGCTAGAGGCAAAACCCTGAACAGGCTGCCAACCTCAACAGCATCGAAAGCCTGAAGCATAGAGACTTCTGACGGAGTCCCGACTCCTAACTTGATGTATTCAACCTCTTGTTTCAAACAGCTGAGTGCTGGAACTGCCAGCAAGCACTCGCTGGCTCTGGGAAGTGCGACCGCCTTCTCAGATCAGAGTGTCAAGCGGTGTTAGGATCCGGGCTTGAATACTTAGACAACATGAGAGACATCCAACTGCATTCGTCAAGCTACCTGGAAGCCCTCTTCCAGCTGGGCCACAAGCCAAAGGACAGAGTCCAGCCTGTGGAGAGCTTCGGCCAGCTAAGGGTTTTTGGCTTTTGCAACATGCGAATCTGTCTTCACAGGCCTGCGGGAACACTTGACCGGTCCCTGTCTAGAGCCTTACATAGCAGCCATCGGCTGCGCTGCATGGTTCCCACGGAGTGAAGCAGCACAGATTGACTATCCAGCCAAGCAAACCTTTGATTCCTCGAGCACGGCTGCAAATACTACCTGTGATAGTACGCCTATCTCGAACCATCGTGACGGACATGAGGCCAAGGCTGCGCTGCGAGTGACATGTCCTCGGCGTTACGCGGTCTCTTGGCCTGGAGCCGGGGATAGACATGAGTACCCACCCCACTCTCTTCATGCGCTTACTGCGAAGTGTCTTGGCGCTCTCAGTTTCGTTGATGGCTTCAGGACGCGAGGGTTGGGACAAGACATTGAGACATTAACCTTTTTGGGATGATTGTGCGATGCCTTATTTGGTGGGTGGGGCTTGGACTCGAATCAAATCGCCCCTCGAAAAACATGCCGAGCAAACATGTTCATGTGAGCTTTAGGAACTTTGGTGTCAGTCAGGACTATGTCTTCACCTCAAGCGTGAGACTGCATCATCTCGTGTCTTGAAGTCTTGCAGAACGTCTCACGGAGATGTGGCATAAGACGGCATAAGATCTTCAATCCTGAAAGGAAACAGACCCACGATACTCCGTAGTTCTACACCCCTTAACAGAAGTGCAAAGAGACGAGCATGATGATAATAATGATGCTGATGGCGATGATTATGTTGATGTTCATGAGTATAATATCATGGTGATGGTGATGTGATGATGTTGATGATGACGGTGGTGTTGATGATGGCTGTGATGACCGTCATGCTCCTGATGATGACGATGATGATGATCGCAGTGAGCGGCGGTGTGCATCACACCGAAAGATAGACAAATAGATAGGCAGATAAATGATTAGACAGATTGTCCCGCTAGCTGGGAACAGGTAGAGTGACCCTGAATTTACTGCTGAGGCTCCAACCTCGGGCTCATCGGATACATTGCCGGCGGCCTGGGAGTGTGGCCCGTTCAGGTGCGCTTCGGAGAGCATAAGGCCCCACACATGGCTTGGGCGTCGGGCCTTGCGCTTCTCCGTGGCCAGGCGAGCCAGTATGCATACCTGCTCCTGAGACAGGCAAGTTTGCGAGGCGTCATTCTTCGTGCACTGCGTTGCAGAAGGTCTCTTGCACTTTACAATTGAAGCTGAGGGCCCTGTGAACCTACTGGGCCCACAGACTGTAGCGCTGTCAGAGTTGCAAGTGGCATCGCTTGAGCAGGGCTGGGCTGAGCCTAAGTCACTGCGCGCTTTGGCCCTCTCCCTCGCCGTAAAAGGCGCAGGCTCTGTGGGATGCGGCGCACGCTTTGGGACCGTCCCTCTTATTCCCTCGCCATGAAAGACTCGAAATCCGCGCGATGCGGCAGGTGCGTCCCCTTCCGTTGGCCGTAGAAGGCTTCGGAGGGCTGCGGCGCACGCTTTGGGATCTCCCCTCTCCCTCGATGCCGAAGGCTCCGTGATATTCTGATATGCGGCGCGCACTTTTGGACCCCCCCTTCCCGCCGCAGAGGCTCCGTGGGATGCGGCGTGCGCTTTGGGAACCCCCCCTCCCCTCTTCCCTCGTCGAAGCAGGATGTAAAAAGATGCTCTTGTACAACACACAACACACTGGTAGTAGCACAAGTTTCCCAAACACCTTGACGGCAGTGGAAGCTGGCGGTCTTCGCGCCCGGCGTGTGCACAAACACTCACAGACACACAGACACACAGACGCACAGACACACAGACACACACACACACACACGCAGATAGATATTTATATATATATATATATATATATATGAGCCACTGCGTTTATTTATTGCTTGGGCTAATTACGCTATCTCGAAGCGGTGCCCCTAACTCGTTTCATCATGTTAAGTACTGGCAGAAAAAGTCGATCTCGTTCAAGTATCGTTAGTACTAGCCGGTACACTCGGACTCGTACGAGTACTGGTACTAGTACTAGTAGTAATCATGAATGGGCCATGGCCTTCTATGGCCGACTCCGTGCATGTTTTGGATCTCGTTTTGATCTCGTTTTCTATCTCGTTTCGATTCGACTACATCACCCCAAATATGCCCCTACTCTACATCATGCCGTCGTCGGAAGCCGTTGGAAGGGCTTAGCTAGGACTAACTACGAGCATTCCCCCCCAAAGATGTATATGACAGATAAAACTAGTCCAAGTATTCCGTCGGAAAGATGCGTCTATGACCGAACCGCTAACGGAAGTACTCCAAACATCTGTGACGAAAGGCAAAGAGTAGTAGCAGGCCCTCGGAAAGCAATGTTTACGAGAGAATGATCAAATATAAAGATTCCGTCGGAAAGATGTGTGTATGACAGAATAGAAGCATATTTCGTGCAGGAAGGAAATCTTTATGACAGACCGTTACAACACTTTCCGTCAAAGAGAAATGTCTATTGTAATCATATTATATATATATATATACACATAAATATATACTTGATCTCGTTTGAAGCGGTGCCCCTATCTCGTTCCGCTAGTAGGGCTAGTTCCGACAACAAAAATAATGTACGGAGGTATCTCGTTTCAAAGTACTGTAGTATAAACGCAAATAAAAGCCGTCGCTCATATGTATATATATATATATGAGAGAGGCGCCTCTAGGGTCTATTTTACGCTCTATTCTTTTCCTTACAATTAATATTATTTGAAATAATTGAAATAATTGAAATAATTGAAATCAGCAGAGTTGATTTCAATTATTTCAATTATTTACATCCGCCAATGGGCCCAAATAATTGAAATCATTGAAATAATTGAAATCGATGGCTGTTTTGGGCCAAGCCACGAATCTCAGGGATTTCAATAATTGAAATAATTGAAATAATTGAAATGGGGGGATTTCAATTATTTCAATTATTTAAATCCGCCAAAGGCCCCAAATAATTGAAATAATTGAAATCCCCCCCATCTCAATTATTTCAATTATTGAAATCCATGGATTTGGTGGCTTGGGCCCACCGGACCTTCGGATTTCAATTATTTCAATTATTTAAATCCGCCAAAAGGCCCAAATAATTGAAATAATTGAAATAATTGAAATCGATGGCTGTTCTGGGCCAAGCCACGAATCCCAGGGATTTCAATAATTGAAATAATTGAAATCAGCCCCATTTCAATTATTTCAATTATTCAAATCACTGGATTTGGTGGCTTGGGCCCACCGAACCTTCGGATTTCAATTATTTCAACTATTTAAGTCCGCCAAAGGGCCCAAATAATTGAAACAATTGAAACAATTGAAATCGATGGCTGTTCTGGGCCAAGCCACGAATCCCAAGGATTTCAGTAATTGAAATAATTGAAATGGTGGGATTTCAATTATTTCATTTATTTAATACCGACAAAGGCCCCAAATAATTGAAATAATTGAAATCAGCCCCATTTCAATTATTTCAATTATTCAAATCACTGGATTTGGTGGCTTGGGCCCACCGAACCTTCGGATTTCAAACATGGGGCCCTCGTGAAGTCAAGGCGGTCTCGGTCTGGGACCGGCAGCAGGTAATCATCCTCAAGTCCTTTTGTAGCCAGGCTGTTCCGCCTCTTACTGAGGGCGATCATGGGTCCCCACCACTCCGTCTGGGAGAAGGAGACCAGAGGCGCGATGAGAGGTTGGGGACGATTATTGTCCCCTACCTCCTTGACCTTAGTCTGCCAGGCGGTGAACTCGAGGGTGTCCTTAGTAATCTTCATTGAATCCGGCCTGGTGTGAGCTGTATCGGAGAACCTGGCCGAGGCGCCTATGCAGAACCTGAAGAAAGAAGCCGCGTAGCCATCCGGTGAGCCTTCCGGGAGGGTCCCAGCCAGCTTCTCAAGCGCAATGACCACCTCCATGGGAGGCGGAGTGGCCCTCCTTTCCTTCTTGGCCTCCGAAGAGACCAAGAGACCCCTGGTATACTCATAGCGCCGGTTGATCGCCTGGTTGACCGTGGGGTCAAAGCCTCCGAAGTGCTGTGGGATCCAGTGAAGTGTCCTCCACAGCTGCCCCAACCTGTAGATTGTGAACTGCTGGTCCACCGCTTCGTAGAGGAGGGCCTTTGCCATGTCTTCGGAGAATGGCAGGGGGGAACACCCGAGCGTGGAGCGGAGCTTCTTGAGGCTGTAGAAGACCGACTTCAAGGAGTTAACCCTGGCTTTGCCAACCAAAGGCCTCCAGACCTCGTACTTGTCCTCCCCCGGCTTGATGTCCTGCATGTTATCAAAGTGCCTGTGGTAGGGAGCCAGGACGGAGATGATCTTGTCCGCCCACTTCTTCTTTGCCGCCCGATCCAGGGCAAGCTGTTTGACCGGACCTTCCATTTTCCCGCTCCGGCGCTCCATTGGGAGGGCCCGTCCAAGCCCTGTCGGCCAGGAGTTGACCCACCGGAGAGAGAGAGAGATGTCCATGAAGGGCAGCCCGACGCGGCCAGCTGAAGCCCAGTGACCGCCTCCTCCAGCTTTTGACTCCTATCTTCGGGGAGTGATTGGAGCCAGGTAGCCTTGAGCCACCCCACTTGCGGTCACATCCCATGCACAGCGCCGTGAAAGCGCCCTGGCGCTCGCATCGGTCACACCAACTCGTGGCCATCTCCCCACACCAGGCGCATGGATCACACAGGAGGCAGGTGCCACCTTGCCGTATGCCACCTTGTCGCCAACGTTGGACCGTATACCCGGCCCTGAGACCAGCGTTGTTCTGGCGAGTCTCGGGGGAGACCAGTCAACCTGGTCTGCCACCGGTCTTCCAGAGCCTTCCACCAGAAGGTCCCTGGCCCTCGGCTGGAATCGTTCCCAGATAGCTTCGGTGAGAATGACCAGCTCCCGGTGCCGCGCATCCATCGGTGAGGCCCAAAGGCCCACTGGCACCAGAAGCGAGAAACAAAATGGAGCCACAGAACAAAACAGCTGCGGGGCCCGGCCAGCCAGGGTGACAAGAGACCATCGCAGCACTGACAGACATGCGCATGCAGATCACGAAGCAGGCACTCTGCACAAGCGAGGACTCCAAAAGACCCCGAACAACCCAGCGGCAAAAGGGAAAGACCCCACCGAAGAAAACCCCAAAGAAACCCCCGAGAGCAAGGCAAGTCCATTCCCCTTTTTGGGCAACCAGAGGCCGGAGGCATCAAGAAAGCGTCTGAGGCGCCTTCCCCGTCTGAACCTTCGATGTGCGGGTTCAGGGACGGGAATCGGCACCTGAGGCAACCGTACCCCCCCCCTCCCCCACGCATCGGGGCTACACTGGGGAGGCGTGCCCCCAAATTTGCTAAAAAGGCAGGAGTAACCAGAGTCAGCGTCAGAGGCGCCTTCCCCTTCTGAAGCCCTCGATGGACAGGTTCAAGGAAGAGAATCGGCACCTGAGGCAACCGTACCCCCCCCCATCCCCCGAGCATCGAGGCTGTACTGGGGAGGTCATGCCCCCCAACTAGCTGAAAGAAAAGGATGTGGCACCCTGTAAAACAGCCCGTAGGCAGACGAGAGGGCGCCGACATCGATTAGCCACCGCTCCCAGGCTAGGAGGCCGCGGGCTTCATCTCCACATCCGCCTTAAGCTCTTCCTTGACCGCATCAGCCAAGACATCCAAAGATTGGAGAGCTTCCAAGGAGGGCTCCGAGAAGACCAGACGCCACAGCTGTGTGGAAGCGTCAGGGCCCAGACGGATGCGGAAGGGATTCTGCCCCGGCATCTTGCGTGGGGCCGCGTCAAGTAGCGGAGCCGTGCCCTCGAACTTCCGACAGAAGAGCATGCGCCCCTGGATCCACCTCTCGCGCTCTGCATGCGGTGGAGCCGTGACGATGGCCTGCAGGACCACGTCGCCATCGAAAATCTCCAGGAGCCAGCCGTGCATCTCGTGGCGCTTGAGCCACTTGCCTTCCGCCGATTCCCGGCCCCATTCGGTCCTGCAAAGGGTGCAGGCATAACGGTTCTTGGAACGCTTGCTCGACCCAACCCTGGTGTAGTCGAAGCCTGACAGGGCCGGGAGGACCATGCCACATTCCATGTGGATCCAATGCCTCCGGTTGGGCTTGTCCACGAAGTCCGGGGCCTTAACCCACGCCCCTCCAGTGCAGCGGTAG